AGGATGTGAATAGATTGGGACTCTCATATACTTCTAGTGGGACAACCACTGTGGAAAGCAGTATGGTGATTCCTTAAAAAGTTGGAATTAGAAATACCATTTGACCCAGCCATTCCATTACTAGGTATATATCCTAAAGAACTGACAGCCAGGACAAGAACAGACATATGCACACCCACATTCATTGCAGCACTATTTACAATAGCCAAAAGAAGGAAACAACCTAGGTGTCTACCAACTGAGGAATGGATAACAAAACTATCGTACATACACACAATGGAATATTATGCAACCCTAAAGAATAACATAGAATCTTCAAAACACTGCATAATGTAGATGAACTTGGAAGACATTATGCTGAGTGAAATAAGTCAATCACAGAAGGACAAATACCGTATTAGTCCATTATTGTAAAAAGTCAAGGAAAGGTTTATATATAGAAGGAAATTTTCTTTGTTGGTTATCAGGGGTAGAAGGGGAGGGGAATGAACACTATTAGATAGGTAGAGATAAGTATTGTTTTGGGTGAAGAGAAGGGCACACTCAAATGTGAGTGATCAAAACAGTGACATTGAGAAAAGGGAAGACAGAGAGAGGTACATGGGAGGTACAGACAACAAAGATGAACCTTTCTGCACATACAGTACTGTGTTGTCAGTGAAGGCAAATATTGATATATGGGTGATTAGATGGGTGGCTGCACAGGCTGAACTATTAGGTATGTCTACAGCAACTCCTCAGAAGGAAGATGGGGCAATCTACTTCCGTAGTGATACTGCCTCGGAAACCCAAGGAGGGGTCGCTATGACTCGAGTCCGACTCGACGGCACATAACAACAACAACAACAACAACAACACAGGGGGGAATGTGCCCATGACCATGTATAGGATTGTCAGACAATATTTCTACAGATGTATTTGTATTTTCTGTGAGAATTTCCAGATATATAGTAGAGCTGACAAGGGACAAGGTTATAGTCACTTCTTGGCCACAGCTAGCTACCCAGAGGGAGTGAATAGCTAGACCTGTGGGCTTGGGACTGTAGTCACAGGGGACATCAAGCTTAATTGTATAATATACTACACAAAAATATTGTTCCACATCCCACTTTGGTGAGTAGCAATGGAGACTTAAAAGCTTTCAAGTGGCCATCTAGATGCAACAATGAGTCTCTCCTTGTCCAGAGCAAAAAAGAATGAAGAAAATCAAAGACACATGGAAACAATTAGTCCAAGCAACTGGTACACCATGCAATCCTCAGCCCATATGACTGTGAGACCAGAAGAACTAGATGGTGCCTGGACCCCACTGTCAACCACTCAGAGGGGAATCTCTGTAGAAGATCTCCTACAGAGATCCTGGATAGAGTGGGAGAACAATGTGAAACAAAACTCAAAATCATTACCCCGCCCGCCCAAAAAAGGACCAGCCTTGCTGGTCTGATAGAGCCTGATGGACCACTGAGATTATGGCCCCTAGCTGCCCTTCAGGTCTAGAACTGAACCCACTCCTGTGGCTTCCAGCCAAACAAAAGACAGGCAGATGAACTGAATATTTACATTAGGTAGATACACTTCTTGCAGAGGTCAATCATGGGAGAATAGAAGGGGTGTGTATGCACAGGGAGACAGCTTGGTGGGCAAGAGTACATGGGAAGGAAGGACACAGGGAAGAGGTAACTATGGGGAGGAAGTGGGATGGGAGTTGTATTGGGGGAAATTGCAGTCTTTGTCATGAGACAAAGTGTATGTGAGCCTCTATATTGAAAGTGAATTTGCTCTGTAAACTTTCACCCAAATCACAATTAAAAAATTTCTTACCCTTTCCAATGTAATTTCTTCAAATTCATATTCAATTTCTGTCCCATTGACCTGAAAATTAGAAAAAGAGAATCATTAAATATATACTGAGGAGGGATAATGACATTTTTTCAAAAGAATTGGAGGTTAAATTTTCATTCTAGTTATGAATAAACCACACTTTCTTATGTTTGTGTCTTCATCCAAATGAAATACAATCCATGATATTCTAAAACATATAAGAATTAAGAATCCACAAAAGAAAACCAGGGATTATTGTTTTTACTAGAATTATGTGATTTTGTGGGGAGCAGAGGGGCTGGAAGGGACAATACAAAATATGCAATTGTGAGTTTACAAAGCCATCTAGGAGGACTGTTACAGTTATGAGAAAATTAACTCCCAAACATTTTTTTTTTTTAAGTATTATGAATGAACACTAAAATATGACCTTAAAAAACCTGTGGTAAACGTAGCACAACCCTTTCTTGCAATTAAAAAATAAAAATAAAAATTTCAGTAAAATAGCATCAAGAATGTGTCTAATAAGAAATGTCCTTTGTTTAATGGCTCAGTCTCAGGTAATTCATCCCTATTATCCTCTTGATGTATTTGTTGGAAAGCATACTCATGTACTTCAGTTGCAGTAGGAAAAGAGAAAAGTAGGACATATTGACATTCCAAGTGGGAAACAATAATAACCATCCAACCAATTCTTAAAGTGACTTGAACTTATAGTTGTTGTTGTTGTTGTTGTTGTTATGTGCCGTCAAGTATTGCCCAACCTTCCTTCTGAGGAGTTGCTGGTGGGTTTGAACCACCAGCCTTCTGGTTAGCAGTCAAGAACTTTAGCCACTATGCTACCAGAGCTCCTTGAACTTATAGAGACAAATACATTTCAAATATAGGCAGGTAACTCATAACACGTCCCATAGATTTCAACAGATGTCTGCACAGCATGTATAAAGAATTGCTTTGAAATAATTGAACAAATATTCAATTCCTGTTTTTACCTATCACAGACAATTTCTCAGCGAAGCCTCTGAACAAGAAAATTCTCAAACTGGCAGTTTCTTTTTCTATGCTGTATCTCAATGACATCATGAACATTTAGGAATAAGCCAACCTGAATAATTTTTAACTGCAAAACCCTAATTTTTATAGGGTTCTAACTTCAATTTACTCTTCCCTCTTTAGAAGAATTTAATCACAGTGCAGGCAGATTGAGAGGTCTATGGAAGCAAGGACTAGATAATCCTACTTACAAATACAAAGTCTGGCAAGAAAGAGTTGATAAGAGAAAAAAAACGGGGGGAGGGAATGAATGATTGACTGAAGTAAGAAGTAATTTATTTATCTGATTTATAAACACAGATACTTGTACATATTCTCCCATAAGGAATTGGATGTAGTATCAACTGATAACATAATGATAATTATAATCAACAAAAGTAACATTAAATCACATAAACCATGAACTATTTGTTAACTCCCAAGTATAACAATGACAATAGACTTTATTATGTGTGCTCACCAGCCACTATAGAGCATTTTTTTTTCCTAATTACATGAGTTAATTGATGAGTCACATTTTACTGTGTTAGTACATTATCAAACATGCCTAAATTAAATTTGATTTTCTGGACTTCAACAACTTAATGACTCATGGATATTTTGTTCTTTACATGTAAAAATAAACACAACATGCAAAGTCTTTGTATATATGTGTTTCTGTATTATTTTTTTGTTTCTCTGTTTAGTTGCCAGACATGACAGAAAGAGAAGGCTGAACTAATGTTACACATTTTCATTCTTAGTATGGCACTGTGCAGCTTTTCTTTGCTTCAGTGCTTCTCTAGAGTGAAGCCCTTCATATCATTAAAATGCTGCTAACTGGGTGGGTGGCAGGAATCAAAGAAAGGAAAAAGATCTTCTGATAAATATCTAAGGGCTCAGGGTAAAAGAAATTCTTTACGTGCTTAAAAGATAACAATACTGTAGTTCAGGAAAGATATTTGAGAGCTTCTTTGTAACATCTATTTGAAGAGCTTTGGCGGTGCAACGGTTAAGGCATTTGGTTGCTAAACAAAAGGTTGGCAGGTTCAAACCCACCAGCTACTCCTTGGAGAAAGACCAGGCAATCTACTTACACAAAGATCTATAGCCTTGGAAATCCTATGGGGCAGTTCTATGCTGTCCTATAAAGTCACTATGAGTCCGAATCAACTGCATGGAAGTGGGTTTAGTCTTGGTTTTTGGAATGGTACAGTAAGCATCCCTGGTGGAACAGTGGCAAAAGCACTCAGCTTCTAATGGAAAGGTTAGTGGTTTGAACCCACTAGCTGTTCCCTGGGAAAACGATGTGGCAGTCAGCTTTCATAAAGATTACACCCTTGGAAACCCTATGAGGCAGTTTTACCCTGTCCTCCATGGCTGCTATGACTCAGAATCTACTCATCTGACCATGGCTTTAACTTTTTTTTTTCCCCCTAAGTATATATTCCTCATCACTAGGACACAGTAGTCTATACTATAAGTAAAGCCCTCTAAGGCAAGAACTCTTACAACCTCCTTGGAAAGAAATGTGGGGAGAAATGATAATACAAAGAACAAGTAAGAATACTTTCATTTTATTTAGAAAAGTGATTGTTATTGAGTGGTGAGGAGACAAGAGGCAACTAAAACATTTCACTCCTTGCCATAATTTCATGTATCCTTCTCAGTAAAACCAGAATCACATTAAAGGCTCCTAGCAGGAGCTCTGGTAGCATAGTGGCTAAGACACTTGCCTGCTAACCAGATGGCTGGCGGTTCAAACCCACCAGCCACTCCTCGGAAGGAAGGTTGGGCAATCCTACTTCCATAGTGATACTGCCTCGGAAACCCAAGGAGGGGTCGCTATGAGTCGGGGCTGACTCGACGGCACATAACAACAACAACAACAGCATCTTCTGAGGTGTTTACAGGCAATTCAGTGTTGTCTGAACTTGCCTTGGTTTTTCTCTATATCCTGAATAAGCTTATCAACATAGACCTTCTCTCTCACAAAGTTATCCTCCTGAAAAGTCTGGCAAATATTTTATTATGTTACCAGCAACAATTCCTGCAATGTTATGCACCCTGGTAATATTTTATCTTCCTGATAGTTTTAGGCTGGGAGAGCTCCATGATTAAGGCTCCATTAACCCAGTGCTAGCCCTGACTGTGACTTACAGGTTTCTCTCCAACTTGATTACTAGAAAAATGAGAGGATTGTCATTTTTATAGAAATGAATGGCCAGTAAGGTAAAATAAATTTCCCAGATTAAAAAAAAAAAAACAACTTTTTCTTCAGATACTTGATTTTTTGGAGCTCTGGTAGCATAGTGGCTAAGACACTTGCCTGCTAACCAGATGGCTGGCGGTTCAAACCCACCAGCCACTCCTCAGAAGGAAGGTTGGGCAATCCTACTTCCGTAGTGATACTGCCTCGGAAACCCAAGGAGGGGTCGCTATGAGTCAGGGCCGACTCGATGGCACATAACAACAACAACAACAACAAATGGCTCTATGGAACAGCAGGTTCCTATGGTGGTCAGAAAATCAATTTGATGTGACACATTGTCCTGCTCTGTTCTGGGCACCTTGCCTTCCTAGTATCGTATGGTAGTTTAGTCGAGAAACTGACCTATGTTGTTATGTGCAGTCGAATCGGACCCGACTCATAGCGATCCCTCCTTGGGTTTCCAAGGCAGTATCACTACAGAAGTAGATTGCCCAACCTTCCTTCTGAGGAGTGGTTGGTGGGTTTGAACCTCCAGCCTTCTGGTTAGCAGTCAAGTGCCTTAGGCACTACACTACCAGAGTGACCCATAGCCCATTCAAATTCAAATTTGGTATTTAAAGTTCTAATTTTATAGACTTTGAATGCTTTACATATTTTTATTCTTTCAGACAGCTTTTTGTTAATTTTGCTAAGTTTTTTTTTTCTTTAGTGTTAGTATAACCACCTGCCTAGATGATGATATAATTTGATTTTAAGATGTATTTTTATCTCCTGAAATGAGAATTTCATGAATAACGCATGTGATCTATTCCATGTTTAAATGTTCTTTAATTGGAATCTTAAATACTGATTTCTCTGATTTTTTTTTTTTTTACCACCACATTTGTAATTTCATCAAAGTAAACAACATATTAAACTATGGGATGAGTGAATTTTAAACATCTCTCATATCATACAGTATAAAAAGGGCTGAAATAGGGATATCAAAGCATTGCTTTCTTTAGACTAAACACAATTCAAGCCAATGGACTATTACTGACCATGTAAGATGTGCCAAGCACTCTCATAGGCACTGAGAAAATAAAAGTTTAAGACATGGTATTTATTCTCAAGCAAAATATAGTCCTTAAAGAGGTACCAACTAAAAAATAATAAGGCCCTAGAGAAATGTATTATCCAATATACAAAATATGGAGGTGGACTAGAGTCACAGCCCCATTGTTGCCACATAAAAAATTGGTGTAGATCTATTTACTATTATCTGTGTATATAGATACAATTTCTTAGTAAAAAAAAAAAATCTAACTCCCTGTCATGCAGTTGGATCTGACTCATAGCGACCCCTCCTTGGATTTACAAGAGAGTATTTCTACAGAAGTAGATTGTCCAATCTTCCTTCCTTCTGGTTAGCAGTCAAATGCCTTAGGCACTACACCATCAGAGCTCCTAATTCCTTAGTAGCAAAAAAAAAAGATAAATGATGTACCAATTCTTCCCCTTATGATCAGAAATTATAATATAGTAAACAAGCCATGTCTCGAAAGCTGATGTGTTTGGCACATACAGCTGCTGTTGGATTTAGGGAGGAGTGTGATGAGAATGAGCCCTGGTGCTGTAGTGTCTAAGGCATTTGACTGCTAACCAGAAGGCTAGCAGTTCACACCCACCAGCCACTCCTCTGAAAGATTAGGCAATCTAATTCCTTATTGACCACCTCAGAAACCCAAGAAGGGGTCTCTCTAGAGTCAGATCTATCTCCATGGCAGTGATTTTGGGTTTTTGGTTGGTTGGTGATGAGAACAGGAGC